TTAGGGTTTGATAGTAGAAGTGGGATTTCGGTCCATATAGGTTATGCATCCGAATTTGTTGATTCAAATGGAGTTAATGAGAGTAGATTAGAGTATCTAAACCTAAGTATAATGAGTTTTGGTGTCTTAGATTGTTGGGCACCATTAATGTTTGAAAATCCCATTTATTATGGGTGATTGAAACTTGTGATGCCATTAATGGGGCTTTAATGGCTCATTAATGTTATTGGGGGTTAAAGATAATTATTAAATTCAATGGGTAGGCTCCACCTCTTGTAGAGAAAATGTTGGGCAAATTAGAAGTAGAGATTAAAGGTTTAAATATTGAGTTAGTTATGTTGATAGAATTCAACTTAGTTGATTATAGTTTTGGCTCTTGGTCACCTATTAGAGTGAAAATTCAAGTTGGAAGCTAGTTAATTAAAGGATAAACCTTTGACCTCTCAAAGGTTTGAGGTAACCGAGAAAAAACCTTACCTTGAATAGTTATATGTTAATTGATTGTTAATTGGTTGTTGAATGTGAATTGTAAATGTTTACATGCATGGGATTAGTTGTTTAAGTAAAAACTATATGTTAGTTTCCTTGATGTGCATGAAAAAGTTATTTTTAGGCTTGAAAATGCAAAATGTAAAGTCAAGAGGATTTCACTATGAACATGCTTATACTTTTAAGAAATGAATGTGATGATGTCTATAAGTATCGGTGTGTTAATGATGAAATGAATTTTGAAAAAAAGATGAGAATATACACTTGGGTAATGCGAGGTCGTGACCCTAACGTGGTTGTAGTAAAAGTGAGTATATGAAAGTGAAAAATGAGAATAAGTGAGCATTGTTTATGGTATGATCAGTGGCGGAAGTTCGCCTAGAGATTTAGGGGTAGAGAAAAATTCATATGGTATTTAGGCTGTTCTTGGTACATGGGGGCTATAACCTTATCCCACTGATTGTCGAAAGACTAGAACCTAACTATCTCCATCGATTCAATGAGAAGAATAGCCTAGGGTATGATATACCCTAGGGATTTGAGAATGGGAGAAGCCGTGATTTAAGAGTGAATTCTATAATTTTTGGTCGGGTCACACCTCACAATTGGTGAGCTTGGATAGTTCAGTCACATGGATGAAGCCCTAATCAATGTTATAGCCCACAGTTTCAGTCTGAGAGAATAAGGAAGATATAAGGTTGGTTGATCATTACCTAAGTAAATATATGACATGTCACATATGCTAAGTGGTGGCAAGTCGCATGAGTGTGGGTCATGTCACATATTTGAAAATATAGTGACAATGCACCTAGTCATGAGAGTTAGATAAGTTATAGAATGTTAAATTGTGATATATGTGGACTTGTTTTACATACTTGATCTTCCTTGTGCATGTAATTGGTTTATAATTGATATATAATTGCATAGGGTGGGTTTAACTTGGGTTATTGAGTGGCTAAACTCACCCCTTTCTTTTAACATTTTTCAAGCTCTAGCTTCAGTGTTGAGAGGAAAAAGACTAAAGAGGCGAGAAATTAGCATATTCCTATTATATGCCTCTAATTAGCTTTAATTGTGTAATGGTATATGAATTGCCAATTCTAAGATGCATATCCCCACACTTGTACTATTTTGGGCCCTTAACCTTTATGTATGTTGATATATATTTGTTTATAGGGCCAAAATACTAGTGCAAGTGTAGAAATAAAAATTTGAATATGTTTTGAATGATTTGAGCGAAATACAATACTAATTTACCTCCCCTTTTGTTTTTGGTAAAATGAAGTTGAGAAGTGAATTTTTATTATACTGTTATTTTGGTGCTTGTGACACGTACTGGTAGTTTTAGGTCCATTGAACATGATCCAGGTGTGAGGAAAAGCTTTTGATACTTGTTGAGGGTTTTGGAAATCCATTTTGTATAAAAGTGTTAAAAAGCGGTTAAAATGTGTTTGGGTGTCCAACTTTCTAGTGTGACTTGTTTTGTAAGTGAAACCTATGCTGTTAGCTAGCTCATGTAAAAAGCTTCTTGTAGACACCTAGATCACATCATTCGGACATCAGACGGAGAACTGAGATGAGTCAGAAGTTCCTTGATTCTGCTGTTAAATGACAGCAGAACCGGTGGTAATTTCATGTAACACGTCGTGACGCATAGCACAGAGTGCAACAAGTCGCGGCGCAGTGTGCACGAGCCGCAGCACATTGCTCTGTAGTACAGCACATGTTTTGTTTTTTAACCGTTTTTGACTTCTTTCACTCCTCTAAGGTATCCTATGCTTCTTAAACTTATTTTTACTCTGATATGAAAGATTTTGATTAATTTTAACTCGCTTCTATTTAGAAAACTTGGGATCCCTTTCTTGTGAATTAAACCTTGGAAATCACTCTTTGAGCTACTTATCTGATTACCATAAGTTTTATTTGTTAATGGTATTTAGTGGAGTAAGAATGTTTCAATGACACTAGCACTCTTTTAATTATTGTTGATGAACTCATTGTAGAGCTATTGAAATAGATCCAGGATCGAATGGATAGGCAAATGGAGGAGAATCAGTATTTCTATGCTCACTTGGGAAGCCATAGAATGTCGAGAGAAAGAGCGCTAGCAGATTATAATGTAAGCTTTGCATGCGGGTATGAGAAACATAACCGCATATATGAAAGGAGGACCTAGTGAGGCTAGCTCTAGGTATGTGCTGCTTAGGGGGAAATCTTCAAAGGGACTTTCATATGCTACTGCAGGCCCTTGGGGCCATGACCAAATAAGGAATACTCCAAACCATCATTACTTTGTTAATACCAACCCTGTTAACAATCCCATATACTATATTCAGGATACCAACATTGGTGGGCAAAGGGGCCAAGTAGTCATCCTAGAATGAGCCAATGTTTCACCTATGCAAGACTAAATATTGAATGTGAACATACTAAAAGATATGATACAAGTTACATATGAGCCCAGGCTAAAACTACTTGGTTGGCCTAACTTTGCCAAACCATATCTTGAGTACATATATCGAGAGAACCCATATCCTAAGGGTTATTGTATACTTGACTTCATGTTGTTCTCAAGCAATAGAACTTAATTCATGTTGGAATACATTGGATGATTCACGATCCAATGAAGGGAGATAGCTAACTATGACAACTTCAACAATATCAAATTAAGACTGTTCCCCAACTACCTTATGGGCTAAGCATTTATTCGGTACACTTTACTAGCCTGAAACTCCGCGTTCACTTGTATAAAAATGGACTGCAAATTCCACATCCAATTCTATAGAGTGTTGCTCAAGGTGAGCATTTTGGAGTTTTGCAAGTTGTCTTAACGTGCTAGTGAGTCAGCCAATTAGTACCTAGCTTGGTTCAAGAGGCCGATGCAACATGCCTTTGCCTGAATCAAAGTTTGTCAAATAATGTCAATTTTTTATAAAATTTGTACAAAATAAATCTCTTTTTGACAAAATTTATAAATTCTATAAAAATAACTTATTTTTTAATCTTAAATAAACATGTCCTAGAACTTAATATAAAAAAGTAATTTTGATTAAGTTACATGAGGGAATTGTTGGAAAAACTTGAAGCTGAACATGAGAAATTATTGAAAAAAATTGTTTTCAGCTTATTTTGTACAAACTTTGCCTGAATCAAAGTTTGTCAAATAATGTCAATTTTTTATAAAATTTGTACAAAATAAATCTCTTTTTTACAAAATTTATAAATTCTATAAAAATAACTTATTTTTTAATCTTAAATAAACATGTCCTAGAACTTAATATAAAAAAGTAATTTTGATTAAGTTACATGAGGGAATTGTTGGAAAAATTTGAAGCTGAACATGAGAAATTATTGAAAAAAATTGTTTTCAGCTTATTTTGATAAGTCAAATCACTTATAAAAATAAGCTAAAAACAATGTTTTTCCAACAACTCATCATGTTTAATTATTTTTTCCAACAAGAAGGTAATATTTTTTTTTTTTGCCAGAAGGTAATAGCCTATTCACAAGCTAAATTTGCAACTACATATAGAATATGGGACACATAGATTCTACAAGAAGCCACTTTGAAAATTTAGCCTGTGGATAGCATTCTAATATAAAATATTAAACTTGTTTTTTCAGCTATAATTTTTTTGTCATTTTCTCTATTTTTTTCATTATTATTTTGGTATTTTGATTTGATGTGACATCCATACGTTTTCTTAGATAAATTAAAAACTTCATTTTGACTTGAATATTAATGCTAAAATGAGAGTTATCACAAATTCCTTCAAGCCAACGTATGAGTTAGATCATAGGTTACTTTGAACCCAAAAATGAGTGAGGTATTACAATTTGTATCCCTGAAGGGGACCTCTTGCTTTTGCATTTATCATTCACAATTTACTTTTTCTCACACTTTACCCTGCTTGCATATATTTTAGAAGTATAGTCCTCGTTATAGAATTAAATTAAATAAATAACTTAATACTTATTAAATTTTACATCATGTTTAGCTTATTGTATTTATCAATGATATATCATTTTATATCAAAGATAAATTTTTTAAAAATTTTTAATGATAAACTTCTTGTATAAAAATATAAACAGTTCATATTTTTAAATTTTTTAAAATTTGGTCGAGATCTTTCAGGCACAAGATTTTTTTGGGGCTAGCAAACCAATTGATCCTATATTTTAAGGATTGTTAATTTGATTTCTTTCCGTTGTGACTAAATCGCATCTCAACAAATGGGGAAATCGCCGTAGGCAAAACCCATGAACCTTGTTTTCAGTTGATAGAAGTCAGGACATGATCGAGACTGTTTTGAGTCTCTGACACGCCTCGCACACTTGAACGATTCCAGCAATGGTTTGTGACCGATTCAAACACTCGGTGGCTAAAAATTGGTTTTTGGGTCTAAACAGTGTTTTGACGCCAAAAGTTTCCCTCCAATAACCCGATTACCTAGCGTTCAGAATTGCATGAAACGTAACACATGGCTTTTTCCATCAGAGAACTCAACCACGCCTCAGTGAACAGTGATGCTATACCATGAAGAAAACTGGTGTCACAGCATTCCCTTCAAACATTAGATATGCATGTCTTCTTAAACTTGAACTACGTTAACAGAAGATTTAAAACCCAGAATTTTTTCGAAGTGAAATAAGTGTTTACGCACACGGTACACGTGGATGCAGTATAGGAAAGCAGCCATTGTGACTGCCAGAAACGATAACAGAATCAGCTTCCAGAAGTCCTGAACCAAATGTACAGAAAACGTAAAAACATTGTAAGCACATCTGTGAAATATCAGCTAGCTTCTACAAGAAAAGCTCATCAGTATACACAAATGGGCCAGTCATGCACTTGAATGTATTCTAGGATCATCATTTTAGTTTTAAGAACTTTACCTGTGGATTGGATATAACAATTCCCATAACATAAGCCAATAGATCCATTGAAGACTGAAGTGAGCTCTGAACACCTCCAACAACCAACCGATCGGTCTCAGGAACAAGATCCTAGTTGAGAAAATAGAAGAATCAGACAAAAGGAAGAATTTTCATTTGTCCAAAGAAACAATTGGACTAAAATCTGACAGTAGGAGTTTTGTTTTCATGCCTGCATTTGTTGAAGTACAGATAAGTCAAACATCCACAAGCCAAGCCGAGATACGGCTACTCCTCCCATTAGCACATACGCTGCTAGAAAGCCATTTTGAATCCAGATTGAAGCAACACATGATAGCAGGCAAGTCCACTGCATTTAAACAAGGCATAAACCAGCAATACATGATAAGAGCCAGTTTTTATAATTGTTTGCTATTAGATTTACTAAAAATAGCAGTATGTGAATAGTTTTTTAAGATGACAGACGATAAAAAATGTTTCTCCAAACCTTGTCTCGTATAAAAGGGAATTGGACACTGACACGATACTCTGATTCAAGACATTTCACTTACACAGATTACATAGTAAGTTTATACCTGAGACCAGATAGACCAAAGTCCAGTTCTAATCGTGGATATACGAGACTGTAAAACTGGATACACAACTGTTGCTGCTATTCCAATCACAGCACTTACTCCTCGTGCTATTCCTATAACATATGCTGGTATGCCTTCCCATTCCAATGTGGCAGTCATCAAAGTACCAAAGCTGAAACAATCAGTTGGAGCTTCATCAGCGAGGTTTCAGAACCAATTCATAGGAGAAAAATACATGTATCTTAAGGTGCATTTAAATGAAATTTTCTGAATGATTGTCTCATAACTATATAGTATAATTGACTGACAAAGCCAAGATGCCTGATACTTTGTGAGGTGGAAAACCAGATGTGCTTTGTGCACAGTTACTCAAGCCATTGAATCTGAGGTTAAATCTCAGATGCAGCCACTTGACAGTTCTTTTGAGTAATTGTTGTGTAATTATCACAACTCCTAGTGGCATATATCATGTAAAATTGTACTGTACAAGCTTTTGAGGAGTTAAAAATGCAAAACTCAGTAACACACAAATATTACATAGTTTGTAAGCTGTTACCTTAGCACAGTGAAAAATAGCAAAGCCAGAGCTATTCCTGGAAGGACAATTTCTTGCTGTAGGTACACTTTCCATGCAGCAATATATGGGATCTCAAAAATCCAGTCTACAATCTTCTTCCTCCATTTTCTTTCTCTCAAATCTGAGGAATCAACAGAATGAGAGAGCAAGCTGTCCTCCTTCGAAGAATAAGGCTCACTCTTTTCCTGATTGCTCAGTACAAATCTTGTCATCCTCCTGGCGCTGCTTTGGCCTAAAGATGGGATCCCATTATACACAGATGTGAAAAGCCAATACTCCACCCAAACAGATAGAGTATTCCAGAGTGCTAATGTTATGGCAGATGCTTTTAGTGATACAAAGCTTATTATGAACCCAGTTACCACAGGGGCAAGTAGCTTGCAGGTTAGATCAATGCGCCTCGTAATTGAATTCATCTCTGTCAGCAATTCTGGTGGTTGTCCTTCTGATATAACCACCAACCTGTAACATGCTTCCTTTTGCATTGTCATTTACGTTTATTAAATAACATACTTTCAAGTATTTGACATTTTAAAAAGGATAAGTTAGTTTCATTCTAATTAAATCTTTCCTCAGGAAAAAGCTTCAATAGTATTACCATTCTCTCTCGATCAAGATGGTGCCACCAAGAGTTGAAAGCACGCCAATGGCTCCACAGATGTCAGTTATCACCACCAGCGAAATGAAACATGGGAAATTAGTGAACCTCAAAGATGGGTAGACAAGCAATGCAACTACAGTGATCCCAGCAATAAGGAAAGAGATATTTTGCATCACCAACCACAGCTGCAAAACCTGCCAATGAAACACCAAAGTGCAGATAACTTTGCCAGTGGATGATTCATTTCATTCAAATATGATTAGAGACAGTCATGTAAAACATACACTTGATCATGAAATTTTGTTTATATCTCATTTTGCGCATGAGGGATTAAGACAATTTCAGCATTTCTTGTCAATGCATCCAAAAATATTCTGATCAGTGAAATCTAAAATAACAAAATAAAGTTGCTTCAGTACTTGCAGACTTATTCTTTGATAAGAATATATAACAAAGAAAACTTTTTCAATGTGGACTAGGCAAATTAAATTTAAAACCTTATTTAAGAGATGTTGAGTTCTTTATCACTCAATTCAACAGCCATTTCGACCGATAAAAAAAAAAAAAAATCAGCCACCACGGGTTGCAAAAGTCATATCAACTTTCAGCTTTATGAAAAGTTCGATGATTTCATTCTGTCAGAGTAATCTTTGTCTTCTAATATCAAGTATATGGAGATTTAAAATACACATTATAGAAAGGAGAATTACAGTTAAATATAAAAAAAAATTAATTATTATAAAATTTATTAATAATTAAATTAAATTACATTTACAATTAATTTTTTTGTTTGAGACTTCAATATAATTGTTCCATTATAAAACCATCATATATAAAATCACTTCCAAAACAAAAACTAAAATGAAACGGCTCGCACACTTTTATATATGATTAAATTAGAACGTTAATCATTTCCTAGATTGCAAAAAACAATAACTATGCTCACCTGCACATATGCCAATCTATCCACCAATCTCCCGACAAGGGGACCAAAAAATGCAGTGGAAGCAGATTCAATGGCACCGTATAGTGCTGCAAAAAGTAACGAGTCTGGCCACACATTAATCATGTACAGACCAACCGAGAACTCCCACATTCTGCATACAGAAACCCTCTATCAACATTAAAAAAAAAAAGGTTTTTTTTAACTGTAGCAACTTCACTTATACACTATAGTTCTTGTACATCACAATCCAGAACTCTATTTTGATTGATTTGAGCTATCTTGTTCCACTCATAACTTCTGATTTCTCCAACATTTATTTGAACTTCTTCCTTTTAGGAATGATGTAATGAAAATACTTTATAAATAAAAGCCCCTAACCACATCAAATCCTAAGAGGTAAAGAGCTTCAAGTTCGTGCTAAGGTTGAGGACAGTCTAGTACCATAAAACCGAAATGGACAGGATGCCTTTCCCTATGAAAATTATTTTTGAAAAGAAGACAAAAGCAACTTTTTACTACTGCTTCAATCTTCTTTTATCGAGAAAAGCAGAAGAGACAAATCTTGAGAAAAGAAAGTGCTTTTTTTAAAGTGAAACTTCTGTGCACTTGAAAGGCAAGATCCAGGACCCATCAAAAAGGGAAAATTAAATTAATGCACAGTCTAGAAGAAAGCAACAAAACGGAAGAGATTAAAGAAGAACCTAGCACCCCATCTGGCTAAAAAGTGGCCAACGTATAATTTCGTGATGATAGAAGATGGGCGTCTCTGTTCTTGCGAAATCAGTAGCTCTACGTTTTCTTCCATTTCAGATTCTCCCAATTCCAATTCCAATCTTTCCTTCATCTTCACTGTGTTCAAAGAAATAGTCGATTTTAATTTCAGAGCATGATGCAGGGTGAATCATGCCATTTAAAAAAAATAATGACTCAGAAAATAATGATAACAGCGAAGATGACGATGCTGATAATAACACATGACTAACTAGCATTCGGAATCTGTGTGTGGGGTTGTATATTAGCGACGACATTGAATAAAGAAATGAGTGAGTCAGTGGTGATCTTGGATCAAGTGGATCTTAATTTGAGTCAAACTCAACCATGTGAACGCCAGATAGAAGTATTTAATTGATTAATTGTCTCTGAAAGCGAAAACAGACTAGGCAGCTGAAAAACAAGTAAACTCATCACGGCACACTCTCGTGCAGTTCTTACACCAAATTTGATGATTAGTAGAGAAGCACTAACCCTCCTTCAGCATGTAGGATTTTGATGGATTAATTGTCGCTTCTGCTTCTCCCTCCTGCTCGTATCTTTCCATTTTATTCACAGCCAAAAAAAAAAGACTGTAGAAGAAGAATTGGATTCAGGGTGAGAGACGAGTTGTGACGGGTGACGATTGAAGCCACCCTCCTTACAATCAATATCAATTAAAACACTCTTTAACCGCCGCTCAATGAAATTCTTTTTTGCTTTTACTATTTATATGAACAATAACGACTCTGTGTTACCTTACCCGTTTGCCATGGAGTTTGCTGCGCGCCTGCATCTGCAACGCTTGCGTATTCAACTTTAAAAAACTTCTTTTTTAAAAAAAAAAAAAAACTCTCTGTAACCATCTAAATTGATCCCAGCGGTTTATTAATTTTTAAATACTTTTAATATTATAGTTAATAATATGAAAAATTTTAAAAATTTTAATAAATCTATTCATTTATCAATCTGATTAATACAAATTTAATTTAGTAGTTCAATTTAATATTAAAAAATTTTATAATTTTATAATTTAACTATTTAGATAAATTCTGGACAATTTAGATATAATTTAGATTACTTAATTTAATATTAAAAATTTATAATTTTACAAATTAATCATTTAAATATATTCTTAATACTCTATATTTAATATTAATTTTTTATATTTTTTATTTTAATAAATATAATATAAAAATATTTAAAATTAATTTAAATCAGCAACAAGGATCAATTTAAATTGAAATGGAGAGTTAAGATTGCTTCTGATCCTAATAAACATTCAATTCTCATAATAATAATAATAATAATAATAATAATAATAATAATAATAATAATGAGCACCAAATGTAAATGCCTCTCTTTGGTAAGGAAAGACAAAACAAAACAAAAAACAATAATGAAAAGCCAAGAGCATCAACTTCAGATTTTTTATTCCAAATAACGAATTCAAGTTCGCTCATATTTTTTTAGGTATATCAAAGCCAATCACCTTACATCATGTGTATTTTTTTACACTGTTTTTTCTACGGCGTAATTCATGTAATGCTCTTACACACCGTCAAAATCTCATTGTTTCTTTATTGTTGTGGGTCCTCATGATGTGAATTTTAAAAATAAATAAATAAACATGTTGTAACTTCCCACGATCATTATGTCATTGTTTAGTAATAAATTATATTTTTTTTCATGGTTCTTTCTACCGTATAATTCCTTTAATGTTATTGCAGTGTGTAAATCCCAATTGCTTTTTAGTTTTTAAAAAACATATTTTTATTAAAATATGCATTGAGCTATAAATTTTAAAATAAAATAAGTGATACATGCTGTATTATCGTCAAAGGTTGTCAAGGGTTTTATTATAATTCACCTTAATTAAAAGATGAATGTTATCTTTAGAGTTAGTTAGAAGAGAAAGAATAACTTTAGTGACATGTTATGGCACCAGGTACATAAGTTGCTCATCGTAAGACCCGAGTTGAGGTATATGTGTATCAAAAGGAGATTCATTGCCATGCCTATTGTCTCGATGACTACTAGATGCAGGCCATTTCTCATTTTTTAAAGTGAGCAAAGACAATTTAGTATCAATGACTTGCATAAAGGTCTCCATATGAGAGACGTGGCTTGCTTGAGTTTACTGATATCATGAGCAGTTTGATTCAGGCAAGTGTTGGTAGTTTCTATTATGGCATTCTGGAACTCAAGACAATGCTCTAAATCACCAAGACAATCAAAAGATTGAGTCTTCGATGGGCGCCATGATACCTCTGACACGAGCAAAAGAGAGAAGAAAGGCCAATTCATTCACCAAAAAAAAAAAGGAAAATGACACTAGGTACAACACATATACCCTAGCCCCATAACACATCACTAAAGTTATTGTCTCTCTTCTAACTAACTTTAAAGGTAACACTCATTCTTTAAATATGGTGAATTACAATAAAACCCTTGACAATCCTTAGATGGTAATATAGCATGGATCAATAAGCCCAAGATAGTAGATTTCAGAGTCATTTATTGTTTTTTTTATTTTTAATATGTACAAATATAGTAACATTTACAATTTAGAATAAAGTATGCTATTTAAGGTTTTTTTACGCATATTTATAACAAATTATCAAAATAAGATGGGCTTTTTTTTTAACCAAAATGCTGCATACAGTAAAAAAAAATTCTTGAAATGTTGCAGCGTGGAAAGTATTTCCTAAAATACTACACTAAAAATCATTCATGAAAGAACGGTTTTGAGGTTCTGAAGAAGTCATTCTTGCCTGAAATAATTTTAAAGTGAGAAATTATTTTTTTATTGTATTAAAAGTGAAATCATTCACTGCCTCAATGATTTCAGCTTATTATTGCTGATTTAACATTTTATTTTCAGTCCTTGCATTCTTTTAACACGTTATGATTTTGTGAAAATCTTCAGCATAATGCATGTTCATGAGAGAATAAAAAATTCATGCATAGTGGCTATAAAAAGGTATGAAAACATGAAGATGCATTAGCAAAGTTGGTCAGATAGTGCAAAGCTAGTTTTTTCACTGACATACTATACAATATAAAAAAAATACTAAAATATTACACAAAATGCTACATTTAAAATTGTGTAGGGGGAGAACAATTTTTAAAATTCATCACCGTAAGAACGATTACTTAAATGTATCAATTCAGTTCCAAGAACGATTTATGAACTTTGGCTGCACCTTACAATTACAATAATAATTTAGTAATCATTTAAATGAAAGTGATAAATAATATTTGGTTCTAATAACAACTTGTTCTTGTTGCATATGTGGCTATTGTTCTCAAACGTATGAGAAGGAGAACAAGATGTGGCACCAAAAGTGTAACATCTTGATTTTTTTTAGATTAAAAAAATTGTAAAATTTAAGTTTTTATTAAAAAAAAAGATAATAATAGAAATTTATATTATTTGAGATTATTCAGAAATAATAATATGGTTAGGAATTTAATTATGAATTAAAAATTTAGGTTTAAAATTACATAAGAAATATTTTAGTTAAGATATAAATTTTAAGATTTAAAATATATAAATAATTTTTTTGGTGTGTGTGTGAGTTAAAAAAAAGAGAAAAGAAAGTAAAAAAAAAGGAAGGGCAATTTAGTCCCATATCAATTAGATGTGGGAAGGTGAGGCGCCTCCTCACGTATAAAAAGAGGAGGCGTAGGCATGAGATGCAGGAGGAAGCAAAACAAAAAGAAACTTTTATAATTTGTAAAAATTACAACTAATGACTCAAGATGCAATTTGTAAAAATTGCAAATAATGACCTAAAAGTTTGAATAATTAAATTCAAACCTATACTTTTTTTAATATAATTGTGAGACCCACAATCCTATTTTTATATTATTTTTCTCTCTTCCTCTCACGTTGCTCGGCGTTTTCTCGTAAGGAGGGATTATTTTCTTTTTCTTCAGGTATGCTCCAATTTTCTTGTTTAGATTAGCATTTAAAAATTATTTAATTACAAAATTAATTTTATAGTTATTTTTTAAATAGTATTAGCTTTCTAGTGATATAATTATTTTGTAAAATAGAGCAAATATTTTGATTAAAATTTTTCTATAGGATAGTTAATCTAATGATATGATGGATTAAAAATATAGGTTGAAATTCTTAGAGGTATAATAAATATTATAGAATATTTTCTTGAGGTTGAAACTCATGTTTAAGAATTTTTGAGTTAAACTCTAGATCTATATGGTTGAATTTATGTTGAATCTGAGATGTAGGGATGAACCTCTAATTATTAAATATTTATTTAAGTATGAATAGGTATTTTTGAGGTTATAGAAAGGTGATTTGAGGCTTCAGGATAATTCTAAAATTTTTTATTTATTTTTGGACTAATTTTTAGAATATAGAAGGATGAAATTGTGATACTAGAAGTGATTTGAGGCTTAAAAATAATTTATTAGGGTATGAAAATTTTAGAAAAGAATTTAGGAAGTTAAATGAGGCATAAATTTTAAATTAATGTTAATATGAATTATAGATCTAAGACTTTCTAACTCTTTAAATTAGAGTTATTTATTTTAATATAAAATTAATATATAGTATTATGAAATAACTATGTAGATTGTATTGACAAAGATAGTGGTGAAAGAGGAGTTGTGAAGGAAACTTGTTATTCAAAACACAAGGTAACCATTATTAATGTATTGTGATAAGTGTATTTGAGAATGGTTATGTGTTGTCTTGTTGTTTAGAAAAATTATGAATTGTTAAAAATAAATATTGTTATACACTTGTTTGAAATTATTGCCAAGTGGGTAAAAATTTATTTTTGTTTATCATGATGAGATATTATTGTTCGGATATATTTCTGTTTGGATATTTGAATGATGCATGACTTGTCAGGGTATTTTAATATATGGTGTTAATGGAAATTTCTGTTCGGTTAATTATTACCACGTGGTAAGCTCTAATTGGACTTAATGAGTGGCGTGTTACTTGGTCCAACTCACCTTTGAAAGGGTGATTTGGCGTCCGAGCATGGCAAAAGAAGGATATAAGGTGTAGTCATGCAATTAAATACTTGTTGGTTTGTTTGGAAATATTGTTCGATTAAATATTTTTGTGTGCCCACTTAGCAATCGTATGATTAGTTACATCCACATGCATCATTACATATTAATTTTTGGTTATTGGACTTTTAAGTCTCATTCCCCATGATTAATATTTTTACAGGAGAGAGTCCAGCCGAGAAAGCACCAGAGGCGTAACTTTGATGTATGAGACACCATCTTTTATATTGCCTCTTATTTTTAATTATACAATGTATCTTATGCCAACTTAGGACATATCTTCTTTGTGGAGCATGTAAACTCTAATTCTTTTTATTAAATGCATTTATATGACTAAGAGGATTATGTTTGTCCTTCTTGATTCATGACCTGATTTGAATATCATGCCATGAGGATCATGTCTGTCCCCCATGGTTCTAATTGCTTTTTGAGATATTTTAAAACTTGTGATATATTGTCTTGATGCATCATGGTAAAACTTTTCTATCATGATAAGGGTTTTAATAATTTATAAAAAAAATTGGTTTGTATTTTTTAGGGTGTTACAGAAAGTCACTGTTCAATTGCATTATCTGATTTTAAAGAATGTAGGGACTGAGAATAAAATGTTAAATCAACAATAATAAGCTGAAATCATTCAAACAGTGAATGATTTCACTTTTAATGCAATAAAAAAATAATTTCTCACTCTAAAATCGTTTCAAGTAAGAATGACTTTTTTAAAACCTCAAAATCATTCTTTCCATGAACGTTTTTTGGTGTAGTATCTCAGGAAATACTTTCATGCTGTAGCATTTTAGGAATTTTTTTTTTACTATATGCAACATTTTGGTAAAAAAAAAAGCCAAATAAAATGCATTGCTATTTAGATTTTATGATATTACAAGTAATTGATTATGAATATTTCACACATCTTAGGTACTATTTTTTTAAATTATTATTTCAATATTTACTAAATGTTTTAGTTTCATTAGTTTTGATAGTACGTTCGGTATTAGGGAAATGAAAAACAAAGGGGTATTTTAATGACTTCAATTTTTAAAAAATGTAGAAGTGAAGTTAGAAGTTTGCAATTTTTTTTTTTTTACTCTTTCATTTTACATCTTTTCCCCGTTAAAATTTTATAATCCTATTTCTCTATTTCTTTAAAATTAGCCTATTAGAATCTCCTTCATTTTCATTCATCACCCCCCTCCAAAAAATAAATAAATAGATAGATAGAGGATTGAATTGCCCGTGCATCACATGGAGTGTAAAATCTAGTTCATGCATGATAGCAAAACCACAATCGTCTTCAAGTTCCATTAGTCACACTGGAACTTGCATTACCTGCTATTTTGATTTCACAGACCACAACATTTTCATGGGTACACATCTACCTAAGAATCTGTCATAATGTTCTATTCTTCAATCAAAACCCAGGAGTTTGCTTGACAGGCTTATGAGAGAAAGAGAAGCTGAGTTGTTAGAAATATCCATAGATCATATGTTTCTTGAAAAACATTAATAAGCAAACATCTTCAAACATCCATAACGTCAAATGATGATAAGTTGCTGGAAAATCGGCTTAAATATGGCTTCACACTTAGATCACTGTTCAATTGCACAGTTCTGGCTCAGAGGGGGAAAAAACAATGGCTCAGCCTCGCGCTTGATGTTTCTTCCCAAACTTTGCTCCAGGTCTCATCTGGCTTGCTTTTTCCCACAATTCATGGCTGGGGAATGTCATATGCTGTGATTAACACTTTTAATGATCGGGCGTGCATTTTTACTTTTGACCTTTTTCAGAGAAATTCTCATACGGAGAAGTTTTCAATGATTTGACATGTTAACTAGTCGCAGAGAGTCTGTATTGGAAGTGTGGTTGATATTTTAAAGATTTCTCAATCTTTTCTTATATTTAATATAGCATAAATCTATCAGAGTCCATCACCTTCTTGCTTTTTCTTCTCGTAAAAGGTAGACAAGTTTAAATATTAAAAGAGAAATTATTCTCGTATATTTTACTTGAATAGACGTAGGGGAAAAAAATAAATCACTTTTTATAGGCTCTTTAAGTTAAAATAGGTTATGGAGGCAAGGTAGTCTAGTTGTTTTTATTTTTACATAACACTACTGTTTTCTAGCTTAGTCACATATTGTAGAGAATTAGATGATTTATTTTCCTTTCTAACAACTTATAAGACTTTACTTTCATTATAAGTTTATAACCCTTTGAAATGTTCTCATATAAATTGCCAATTGACGAGACTTATTGTTGTGTTTCTACTAAAAAGAATTAAATAACTAAGTTTTTAAATAAATGTCAGCAAAAGTCTTGCTAAAAAAAAATTAAAAGTTGGACTATGCTCATATGCTGAATTATTTAAATTTCACTTTTTATTTGTTGCATTATTGATCCTATATGAATTGTTTTTGGCCAAAAATTGAATGTTTAAAACAATAGGGATTAATGATAAATTCGTAAACAATTAATAATATAAACAATTTTCGTGGGGGAAGGTGTAAATCCCAAACTTCAACTTAGAAGAGTTGGAATATCATCCTTCAATAAAGATAAAAATACTATGAACCATGAAGTGCTTGGGAAGTTGGTAAATTGATAATAGGGAGATATTTAAAGATTTGATGTTTTTATATTTTATATATTTTAAAAAAATAAAATTGAACACGTGACATCACTAGACATGCTTGTGATTCTTACCGCTGTAAAAATAATTATTTTTTAAATTTAAAAATTGAAATTATAAGTAAATTAATAAAAAGTTGGGATAACAAAGATATATTAAGAATGTGGTAGTTTTATATTTTAAATATTAAAAAAAACACATGACATCACCAAACATCTGCTTATGATTTCTCTTGTTTTAATTAAAAATAATTATTTTTAAATTAAAATAATTATTCTTAAATTAATGCAAAGTTGAGAACATGATAATTTTATATTTCATAAATTCAAAAATTAAAGTGGACGCGTGACATCACACATTTACTTGTGATTCTTACAATTTTAAAAATAATTATTTTTAAATTTTAAATTTTAAATTTAAAATAAGTTAATGAAAAGTTAAGAAGATGGAAAAATAAGCAGAGATACAATAGCTTTGTATTTTATATATTTAAAAATCGAGTGAACACGTGGTATCTGCTTGCACTTCTACTGTTATATAAATATAAATTAGTAAAATCAATGTTTGTATATCAAGATGAAAGAGCAACTAAATTTGCTTGGGGTTAATTGTTTAAAGTAATTTCACTGATTGCAGTAAATTTTATTTTTCCTTTTTATCATAATCAAGGATAAAACTTCAAATCAATGATCATAGAAAACTTATTTTAATTAATGATTTTGTTTTAATTATTTATTTAGTTAAAATGTAAATCTATTTTCTCGTGCATCACGGAGTAAATTCTAAAACATATACTAATAAAGGAAAAAAATTAAGCAGATGCAGACGCAATCACCTCTGAAAGAAGAGATTTATCATTACATTCGAATTAGTAAAATAAAAATTGGTATTTTTAGATAAAAAGAAACTAAATTTGCAAGAGGCTCATTAATTTTAGAATAATTTCACTGAGTACAATATTGTTTAATTTTTTTTTCATTTTACTAAAATTAGTCGAAATAAACTTCATATCACCAATCAGAAATTCATAGCTTTTGCTATTTTGCCTTTCCATTGTTTTATCTATTCATTTTGTATGAACAATTTTGAAAACATTTGTGGGAGAGTTTTTTTTTTTTGGGTAAAAAATGGATAATTTTAAAATATTCATATGCTACAAATTTTTTTTTTTTTGGGGAAAATAATGCTTCCTGTGCATCGCATGGGGAATCAATGGTAGTTGATTTAAAAGGAAAAAAACATTTAGGAGAAGATCATACAAGAGTCAGAAATAAGACAACTCGAAGTCAAACACTAAATTACAGGAACATCCATGGCGGCCAAGTCCCACCAAGCAGACCTGAAAGACAAAACAGGGAAAAATAATAATCTTTTGGAGAGCACAGCAAGTGTAAAATCTAAAACAACATAAAAGCAGAATTCATATCTTTGCTTCACTAAAAATATAATATGTGGAGAAATTTCCTTTAACTATTTAGTCAATATAATCCTGAATTATAAATATTAACTATGTTTCAGGAAGTCAATTCGATCTACCGGGAACCAACAATGTCACGATTCAACGAAAATGTCAGGTCTGTTAAGAATTGAAGGATCATGATGAAGGTGCCACCAAACCAGCAACAGAACAAAAATGATCCACCGAACAACTTAATAAAATAATCTCTCTCTATGCTCATAGTCTGGAAAGCTTCCCTGACCCCAGCCCCCGTAATGAACCCGAAACTTTTGACTTCCCTGTTGACCAAGAGTATCAACTCAAATGAATGCAAATCAACTTCAAAGCTTAAAGTGTCAAGTCAAAATGCGAGCAAGGTGTGATGGAGGATGAAACCAGAAACAACAAGCAAAGAGGCAAATGGCAAGTAAATTGATCGTATCAACTATTGCTAATGCTGCCAATCTTAGATTTCATCAACCAAATAGATATTACCTACTCCTGTATTTTTCTTTCTCAAATTCACTATTTTATTTTCATACTGTCCTCATTGATTTTACAGTTTTTCAAGACCCTAAAGAAACTACCACAGTCAAATCATCCACCAGATTAGTCAATTTGCTCTAGTACCCCTTTTCTTATAAGTTATAACCATTATCAATACAATTTGCTCTATCTTTACCATCATGTCTTTGGCTCAAATCTCAACGTAGTTAGCAGGAAGGGACAACAGAACAGAACATGGACTTCAGGTTAACCTTTTAAATAGAAGGTTATTAACAGCAACACAGAGACACTAAACAGAATCTATAATTCCTGGAACCCATCTGGCAGCTAAAATAAGCATAAAATGTTAGGGCACTTTTTCTTCTACAAGGAGAACTGATATTCCCAGTTACTTATAACAAATTTCCGGAACTCAGGGCAAAGAAAATAAAAACCATCAATCTCAAATGTCAATTCAAAAATAATGTAAAACATATTCGCTACATCTTAGATAAGTAATTCTGTGCCCTTGAATAAGGTGGTAAAATGAAAGGCCCATTGATATCATAATCATATACCTTTACATTTTCAGTAAAACTAGATCTACAATTATATATTGCCACATTTAATTTTTCACTAAGAAAACAGGTCTAAAAAGACCTATATATAAACATGTTTTCTCCCCAGTAATATTAAAAACTAAGGAATTTCAGGCCCTTGCTGACATTTTAAAGAATGTTAACAGAAGAGCGTGGATTATACAATGAGTTAAGCATATTAACATTTAAGTTTGACAATTCAAATTGTTCTAAAGATAATTAAATTCCAATGGAAAAGAACCGTGAAAACCTACAAATTTAGATTTCGTACAGAATAACAGTGTGATACAGATCTGACCATTAAAAACTAGAGCTTCTTATCAGATTTAAAAATTGGGAATTAGGTTCCGCAGTCTCAATTAAAATTGAATTCTTATAAGCCAGACTCAAAACACATGCTCATACAACTAAGTAGGGAGAAATAAGCAAAATCTTTATAAGCTAAAGCCTCAAGATTTTCCATATCACACACAATGCTGGCAAAAATAAAGCAAGTGGTAGGGTAGCCATGAGAGAAGGATAAGCTCACCTTTCATGTTTTAGAGCATGAAGGAAAATTATATCTGCTTAAGAATGATCCTTTAATTCATCAGAATCAGAATCAGAATCACTCGCATTATAACCTAACACAGATGCAGCAAACGATAGTAAAACTAACTTTAATAAATGAATAATGATGATATTGCTAATGCAGCAGCCAGCCATAACAAGGAAGGGAGGGTTCACCTGGACGCTTGTTACCAACTTTCCAAACTGAAGACCTAGTCCTTGATGCCTTGGTAAGCCAAACCCTTCCCTTCAAAGTTCATACCCGACCAATAAGATCAGTCTTTGAAAACAAATAGCAACCACAAACAAGTACATCCACAACCTCCACGTATTATTCATTTATAATACAGAATCACCCCATTGCTTTTTATATGCATCTACATCTTTAAACGGCCCGTAGAATCTATTCCATTATGCTAAAAAGTAAAAACTACTCTGATGCATTAGCATAACTATTTTTTGAAGTATAAATTAACACAACCAAATTGGTCCTCAAATTAATTACTCAAATAAAAAAAAAATCTAGCATCGAGATAGCAGAGAAACAAATTTTTATTGATTACTTTCACCTGTAGTAGACTGTTCAAGACTAGACAAATAACTACATAGACATGTAAGCATGTAATTACATAAAAGAGCATCTTATAACCTAGACATGAGGATAATTTTCTTATTTATTGCCACAAACATAGCCTCCCCACTCGTAAACATGCCCAGAACTGCGAGGAGGACACAAATGAACAGATAGCCTTTTCTATTTATAGCAGAAAAATAAATAAGTTCTATTTCTTTGTCCATGACAAAATTGCAAACATCTCAATCAATATTCTCGTTTTCGTTTTCTCAGCAAACCTGGGACACCAGAATCACACCCAACAAGGCCTAATCCACCATAATATGCATGCAAGGAAAGTCTACTCCAATGAAGTAATGATATTGGCACAGATATGTAACACAACCAGATATGGTATTGTTTAAATGCAATATGGGGATACAGCTGTACCAAAGATAGAATACGACTCATTTTGTCAAGTATCAGAGTTATTCACTCAGAAGACTAAAACAGAACACCTTCTGGATGCGTTTCTCTGGAAAGCCCAAAACACCAGAGTCAAACCCAACAAAACTTAAGAATATGAATTTAGGGAAAGTTAATTCAAAATACTAAAACAGAACAAGAAGAAACAAACCCACCTTCTGGGCATCTCTAGGAACTCCATAACCGCTGCAATACATCTGACCAACCAACACTTGCATGTTGATGTCACCTGCTTTGGCTTCCCTGAGCGTGTCCCTAAACCACCGCTTAACACAGTCCGCTACCACATCCGAAAGTGGCACTCGACTATTTGCCGCTTTCTCCGTACTGCTCTCCATCCTTCAACTTCAATTTCCGGATGTGCGGTTTTCGGGTTCGGTATATTGAACCACTGAGGAGTGGGTTTCGGAGTCGCAGAGCTAAAAGATAAAAAGATGGATTTCCCAGAAGCAGTTCGAGGAAATTATGGGTAGCTTCCAAATTAAAAAACGAAAGAAATAAAGACACGAAAATTGAATTTGGGTTTTCTGACCTTTTCCTTGAGCTTTGTCTCGTCGTTGCTAGGGGAAGGTCATGTTTGAATTCTATGGAGATAATTTTATATTCAGAATCAGCCAAAGGCGGTGTCTGGTGGGATGAGAATTAAGAAAGGGTTTTTCTTTTTCGGGGCCAACGGAGAATTAAGAAGGGTTTACACTTTACAAGTACAAGGAGAGTGCAGCAGCTTTCGCCTTTCGGTAGAGATCAGGTCGGCAAGGAAGCTGTCGTCCAGCGAGCAGCGACATTGCTCCCGTGTGCAGGTGACGCCTAAAACCATCCTCACGACGTCGTTTTACATCACATTAGTAAAATAATTCAAAAACCTAAGTTGCAAAAAATTCTTAAATTTTAAATATAATTTTCCAAGAATTCACAACAGACGCCCCCAAATTTGCTTTTGGAAGACTTAAATGTCTGAAATTAATATATATATATATATATATATAAACACTCTTTCTTTAAAAATATAAAATATTTTTAATTAAATCTTATTTTTAATAAAATAATAAATTATTTTTAAACTAACATTATTTTTTTATTTTTATTTAATAAGGTGTTTTACTTTAAAATAAATATAAATTTATTTATTTATTAAAAGTAATTTTAAAAAAATATATTAATTATACCTTAATACTACAATTATTTTACATTTTTGAATATATAATGTGTTAAAAAATATTTTATATTTTTTAATAAAAAGATATATATATATATATATATATAAATAATACTATAAAATCAATATCATGAGATCATCAATATATACATCAAAGCATAATCAATGAGTGGAATTCTTATATAGATTCAATGTCATTTATATAATATTTAAAAAATATGTCATGTCAGACTACTTTAAATATTAATTGATTCTACTATTAATGATTATAAAAAAAAGAAAAACAAAAAATTAAAAAGGCATTTTATTTTAAAATAAAATTATTAAAAATAATGACATTTAAAATTTTGTTTAATTAAACTAATATAATTTTATTGTATTTAGCATGGGCAACATGATATTCCTGATCTATGCAATAATTTTTTTTATTTAATGGTTGCTATAGATAAATAGTCGCCTGTATAGTATGTAATATTTTCAATTTTTTTTCACTTTTTACTGAAATTTATTTAAAGAAAATTAAATAATTTAACATTGCTTGCATTATTTGCTGCAGGCAATGTGGTGCTTATGGTTAGGCATATCGATGTGACGACATTACAAATTATTTTTTATATTTTTAAAATTTAGTTGTTTTGTCATATTGAAGAATGAGGAAAAACAAGAAATAAGAATCGTTAACAAAGGAAGTTAATTAATTTAATATGTAAAAAACAAAACATTTAATTTAACTTCTTTTTTCAGTGTTGGTGATCATATCATCTATAAGCGCGTGCGGCTTATTACAAACTGATGCAATACACCAAAAAATGTGTGTGTAATTTTATATTAAATGCCAAAAAAGAAAACTTAAGCTCTAAGTCATGTAAATCTTAGGATGTATTATAATTTAGGCTTTGTAATAAAAAAGATTCCAAGCATCAACAAAATGGGCAAGGCATGAATGGAATGGAATTGTATGTGAATGTTGCCAAATTCCAGCTAGTGTAGGCTTGTGTCATCTGATGATTTGATTTGACAGCCTTCAATCTTTGCAGCAATTCATTCATGTTTAGCTGGAGTTGCGTTCCGCTAGGATCCCAAAACAAGTCGCTTTCTCGTTTCAATTCTTTCACACCGATGAATACTCGCCTAATTTGTTGAGTCTTGCTCACCCTCTGTTCTTTTCGCGTCAATTTTTGTCTTAAACATCTTTGAAGACTAAGTCAAGCTCTGTGAGTCTAATGTTTTTTTTTTTTAAGAGAATTATGTAATATCTCCTAGATATCACAAATACATAATCATAATAATTACAACCTATCATGATAATTAGAGAATAACCCATTTTAAGTAATTGAAAGATTCTTTAGCTGCAATTATAAAAGGGCTATTCATAGTTAAAAAGGAAAAGATTTAATTTAAAGGTCTATTATGATTATTAAAATTCAACTTGCTAAATTAATTCATATATTATGTAAAATTTAAAGGTTTAAAATGAGAAAATTAGCTTTGCCATGGTAAAATGAATAGTTTAAACACAAGTAGTAATGCTCTTGTATGCTAGAAAAGTTTGAAACATATACCTAATGATGTAAAACCATTATAATCAATGGAATCTTGAGTTTTAAAATAAAAAAATTAACTTTACAAGGCTAGAAAGACATTAATATCAAAATTATAAAATATACAGAAGTATTGGATATCAAAAAGATTTGAAAATCCCTTGAAAATGAATTTTAAAATGTTATTTTCTAAAGTCTAAGACATTTGCAATGGCTAATAAGTTGTCTATTACAGCTAACAATACAAAGGCAGTTTGCTACAGCTAAGACTTGATAGACCAAGATCACCAGGATTATGTGCCATGCATTGCGGCATAGGTGCTATTTGTTACAGCACACCACACAAATCCATGATAGAAACTTTGCTGTCAAACTAGATTCGAGGTTTAAACTTTTAATGCTCTCTAAATCTTCGTCTGATGTTTGATTAAAATGATTTGGGTGTTTATAGCTTATTTAAAATACTAGCTAATGACATCAATTTTATTTCAAAATTAATTCATATCACCAAGTTGGGTACTCAAAATTACATTAACTATATTCTTACACTTCTAACCTTCTAGGATGTCTAAAATCCAACCAAAGCATCAAAAGTCCAAAACCACACCTAGATCGAATTTAAAGGACTTAGGATAACTTGTGCAATGGACCACATCAAGCAAAACCACTATTAATCCCAATCTAAACCCTCAACCTAAATTTCATTAAATCAAAATGGGAAGGTTTTAATACCATTTTTTCAACATCTCATTTTATAATTCCTTAAAATAATCATGATCTTGCTTCAAGGCCGTGAAAGTCATAAGGCAAGTGAGGCAATTGCCTTAGGCCTCCAAAAAAAAAATTATTAATACCCTTATTATGTATATGTGTGTGTGTGTATGCGCTCGCGCAATTGATATTTGTATTATTATATATTTAATTATACATGAAAGACAATAAAAAGTATTGATTGTTTTTCCTATTGAAAAGTTCTAATCATTCCTATTATAATATTAATTATTGATATGAGTTCATTATTTACATAAAAAAGAATAACAAGATCTCTAATATCCTAATTTGTACCACATTAACTTGCGTTAAATTTCTCTCACAGTCTCACTTGTCATCTTTTTCTTTTCTTATTCTAAACCTTAAAACATTAACAAATAATAGTATCAAGACCTTATATAGTTTTAGACCATCAACATGACACTTTTAAGCCTTATTAAAAATCTTGTTTATAATTTATATAATTATTATTATTTTTCACATTAATAATTGATATTATTAGTTTTAATTATATCTTTTTTGTTAAAAATGTATTACATCCCATATTATTAATATTTTGTCCCAATATATGAGATGTGGGATAGAAGCATTTTGTCAATACTAATTTTCATTTAACTGTTGAATTAATTTAGTATTTTATTAGAATCATTATTTCATAGAATTTTAATATATAATTTTGTAAAAAATGATGAGTGCATTTTTTTTAAGGAACAATTACACATGCTTGGCTTTACTAATAACTTTTCCTTAGGCCTCAACATTTTCACATGACCTTGTCTTACTTGCACCAGTGTTTTGACTTATTCACACAATCTATTTCATACAACACCTAAATCTAGGGTCCTAATTATAACCCATCATGCAAGATATGCAAACGATGCAAGTATATCAAAATGAATGATCTAATTGGAAATATAATTAACATTTACATATGCTACATAATTACCAAAGGCATTTCCGTTGGAAAACTCAATCATGTGCCTTGGTTTCTTTCCCATTTTCCTTGACTAGGACTATTGCGTGTAATATGCTAAATGAAGAGTGAGTAAAGCCATTAATAATTAAGGAAACTTTAAATCATGCATAAGTGAGTCAAATCAATTAAAGTGTGTAAAGTGGGCATTTCAAATTAGTTAAGTTCACAACATAATATCATATCACATGATACACAATATGCATTATCAAATACTCCTTATCTCTTCCTTAAATTACTGACTGAATATGTGGCCGGCAATTCAAATAGAACTAAGTCTGTGTGGATTGACAAGCCTAAACTTTCTAATTATGAGAAGCTATGCAACCAAAGGTACTGCACTTACTATTGAATCATGGATTCTCCCATTCTCAAATTCCCTAGGGTGTCATAAGTTCCACCCCACACCTAATCCAAGGTAATGTTAAGGATTTAAGAGGTTCGGTAACCTACATTTATACCTATTCCTAGGTCAGATATAGAAAAACCCAACCCTAAACCAAAGCATCGAGGCTATGGTGTAGCTAATATGCACATGAACAAGAATAATACTAACTCCTCATAGGGCAAATTCTTGCCCAATGTATGATCATGCCAACATTTTTAATGCAACAACAATGCATACTCAATGCATCAATAACATTCATGTTAGAGTTCATATCACAAGTTAACCTACCAATGTTGCATATTCATTTCAATATCAAATAACTACTCAAATCTTTTAATTGGCCACACACTTGCAACATTTTTTAGAATCATAAAAAATATCAAATTAAACTTTGAAAGCATAATTTCAAGTTCACAATAACCAATAATCAATTTAAACAAGCATTAACACAAAATAAACTCCGCCAACTACATCAAACTTTCGAGACCCCTTTACTATACTTGCTTTTCGAGCTATACCAAGCTCAAATTGATGCACAATGAGGTTAATCTACAATTAATAACAACAACCATCAATATAACTTCCATTTAACTCATTTTAAACACTTTAATTCTCACATAATCAACCCAAAATCTCAACCTTTAAGATTTTCCTTAGAACCAATAGGTATGTTAACTCTTGTTAACTTCCATAAACTTAAATATCATCATTTATAGCTCCTAACTACTCCAAGTCATTACTTTAATGCCCTAAAATTGTTGAAATTTGAGGACTCACATATAGGGACGCATAGAAATATCACCCATATGCAGTGAAGGCTTAAATAACTCTCATTAATCCCATGTGAATCAATGAATATGGACCCATAACCCTAAAATCTGAAAATCACCTTCTCATAACAAAATCCCAACTCAAAACTAAGTAAAAGAAGAGAGGGAAGATGTTTACCTTGAAGATTGAACCTCCAAATATCCTTAAAATAAACTCCAAACTTGTCCTAATAGAGCAAAATGGTGCTCTCTTGTTCCCTTCCAATTTCCTTTATATTTTTTGAATAGCCCAAAGCCTTATTTAAGTTTAATTCAATCCATTTGCCACGACACACAACACGTCCGTCTAGATTGGCCCAAATGGTTCAAATCAACCCCAAACTTGATCCAAATGCTATAAACAATTTCAATAAGTTCATTAGCCATCTTTAACCATCCTCAAATTAATTAACACATGAATTTATCCAATTGCTCTTCATTAATTTCTTTATTTTGAGATTTAAAATTTGGAATGTTACAAATTACACTTAAATCCATTGATAATTAAGCATACTAAAATGGGTAAGTGGGGTTATGAAATTTTAATAAAGAGAATATGCAAATTAAAATAGTAAGAAAATTACTTAATATCCTTTAACCCCAATTATCTTTTTTTTTTAAAAAAATAAAACTCATTAAAATATCCTACCTTCCCCATCCCCTCTATTCAAACAGGAAGAGTATGTGCCTCTATGTTTGCGTGTCATGTTGTTCATCGTTACTTTCAGATTGAAGTTGTCAATTACTCCTTGTATATTGATGAAAGCAATGTGTCACCTTCAGGAGCGGCTTCATCAGAGTAGAGGTTTTGGCACCAAATTTTCCATATATTTCAAGGAAGCGTGGGCTATCAATCTTTGCCGGCAGATTCTTCTTCCGCTTGAACTCCCTGCAAATGCGTCTATCTACTTGCATGTGCTCCTTTCAAAACTCATTATATTTGCCCACTCCAACAAGAACATTCCATATCATGATTACTTAGAAGTGAATAATTTGACTTGAGCCACAAGAAACTCACCCACATTTTAAACATATTCATAAAATTATGTAATTGAATAAGGAAATTAGCGAATAAACGTGGTGACTGATACAAAATGTACATCTCGAGTGATTTTACTCACTTGTATATGGAATATTGTAACTATACTGGATACAAACATGATCAATGAGAAGCAATTATACCAATAATTTAAAAAAAAATGCATTACAGGATTACAAAACTTCATGCTCATCACTATAGATAAAAAAAATTACGCCACTCATGACACAAATATACAATATTTTATATCAAAGGCAAAACAGGGATAAAGGTAAAGCATTTCCACAGAGCCTGAACCCTGAATCTTCTAGGGCAGAAAGGCATCGCCTCTGAAAAGGATCGGGTGTGAACAGAGAAAGGGGAGCATGTGGAGTGCATAGTATCATATATGAACTTATAATCTTATATTTCAGAGACTTCTCATCCATTAGAGGAGAGAAGATTTTCTACACCTGCCTCAGTAAAGGCACGGTAGTAAGATATATCAATTAGCTGAGAATACTATATCCATGGAAGATTTAAGAATCACTCCAACCATCTCTATCGTCATCTTCATCACTCCCGGCCAGAGCCTGTACAATGATCATCATGTTAGTAGACAATGATGGAAGCGAGATAGCCAATAGAACTGTATTCTAAGCAGTTAATTAAACAGAGCAAGAGAATGAGATACCTGGCGAATTGAATTTACTTTCTCCAATATGGCGACAACCTTTAAGTTTGTTCTTGGCCCCTGATAATGATAGCGATTTCGTGTTGTTGCAGCTGGCTTCAGGTTGAAAGACTAAGAGAACCAAAAGAATCAAAATAATAATAATAATAACAATAATAATAATAAGTACAAGACTACTTTCAACGAAAGAACATACAGCAATTCATAAAGGACACAAAAAGGTTGCCAGTTCTAACCTTTGTTCTTATCTGTTCCAAAAATGAATCTCTTTCTTCTACCTTTGGTGCTATTGGAGGCCTAACTCGTTCAGCAACCTTCCTCAGCTGCAGCAGTCCCAAGGCGAAGTTTTATGCAATGGGTAGGACCTCATGAAGAGTAAATTCTAATACTCTATGATAACTATACTACTGTCCTTACCTTGCTTTTGTCAAGAGCAGCAACGGCATCAATCACCGGACTCCGTGGACGAGGAAACTTATCATTTGGCTTTCCATTTGGCTTTTCCCTCTCAAAATCTGATGCCAGAGCAGACGTGTCCAATGTCAAAGCCATTTCACTCTCTGAAGGCAGCAGGCTGTGATTGGGCTGCGCATTTTCCATGCCTGGTGGTGACATGGATGAAATACAAGGTTCTCCTTTCTTCCTTTCTGAAGGCAGAAGGATGTCATTGGGCTGCACATTTTCCATGCCTGATGGTGACATGGGTGAAATAGAAGGATCTCCTTGCTCCCCTTCAAGATTATTTGCAGACTGCTGAAGTGTTTCAACTTCTAAACTAGGTTGGCTTGGTTGTGGAGACAGTTCCCGTGGAGATATGGGACCTTGTACAGAAAGGGCACGCTCAACAGGTGGCATTGATGAGCTTGTGTTTGAATTTTGTACCGTTTCTCCCTCTGAGGCAACGACGTAACCTTGGGCAGGCTTACTGGAAGGTATCACTGGTGAAGGTAATGTTATAAATGGGTTGTGGGTTTGGCTTCTCTCCAAAACTAGGTAATTATATTGACCGTTTACTTCATTAAGCACGATGGGCAGTTGCGTAGGAATTGCAACAGGATGCCCACCCCGAAAAAAGCCCGAGGTATTTTGGAGCTTATCACCTTCCACAGCCATGACAGGTAAAACAGGATTCTGAAACTGCAATGCTTCTCTCTCGGAAGTTGGTAAACTACATTGAGCTTGCTCTTTCCTTTTAATCGGCTGTATTGGTTGGAATGAGACTTCTCCATGTGAAGCGAGGGAAGCAGGTTGAACCTTACCAGTTCTCCATTGCATAGGTGGTAGAGGGGGTAGGGGTGGCATCTCCTCAAAATTGATTTTAGGTGCCTCGGATAAAGGGTCTGGAAGAGGAGGAAGAGGCTTATTCATGGCATGTTTTGTAAAGTTAACCTCCTGAGTTGCTGATTGTGACAAAGACTCAAATGACGAAGATTGACCTAGATGGATTTCAGGAACAGACCTAGAGGCACCATAAGAGTTTCTTTCGTTTTCCAAGTGATTTGATCTTTGCATCTGTTCAGATTGAGGTTTCTTTGAGGAAGAATCTTCTACACACCTCGGCAGAAACCCTGCATCCCGTTGACCATCTTGTAATTGTAAGAACTTCTTCAAATGATTTCCAGACTTCAGCTGGTTAGAGAAGGAAGATGATGCCAAACCATCTTCACCATTCCGTAAACGTTTGCTCTGCAAAAGAGAGATGGATTTTGGCTCCTGAGAGTCTAGCTTCGAAAACTTGAGAATCTTTTCCTTAACAGAATTGTGTTCAGTTTGCTCCGTAGGAGATGAACCTTGAATAATATTACATATTTCTGAATTATCACAGGGCACTGATCTGTTCAGGCTCAGTTCTACGTCAGCCAAAGCAGCATTTAGTTGATGCACTACCCTCTGTTTCTCTAGTTTTGTCAAGGATTCTCTATCAACTGCCTCGCTGATTTCCCTCTGTATCTCTTGAGGATCAGCAAAAGTGGAGCAAGATTCCTCAAAATTTGAAAGACTCCTCATTGGAAAAGATATCATATTGGAATCTAAAGTTGGTTCCTGTTGATTCTCCATCTTTTCTGGATTCAAGTCAACAGCAATCTTGATCGGTTCTACCTCATTGGTTTCCATTTTTGTCTCATGGGAACATGTGCCAGGTATAGGTTCTTGTAAATTTGAAAGATTTCTTGATGCAGAAGAGATCATACTGGAAGCGAGACAAGTGGCAATATTCACATCATTTTCAGCAGCATCAACAGATACGGATTTATCTTCTGACTGAAGTTCTGTAGAAGCCACATCATCTGTGACATGATAATCCTGACCAACATAGTCAACAGAAGATGAACCTTTAAGTAGTCTATCATCTTCATCTTCATCCGTTCTGCAAGTGGATCCACTCAATTCATAACTATGCTCCATTTTTGATGGCTCTTCAAAATTTGATTGCTGATCGCAACATTTATCTTCAACACCCACTGAGTCTGATTCGTCTTGTGAGTTGAGTAGGGTTGCCTTAGCACCATCTGCGGCTTTTGAAGGTTGGACTTCCAGCATCAGGGTAGCACTTGAAGAATGCAAGTCTACTTCCGCGGATGAGCAAATTGGGCGTTCTTCTGTACCTATCTCCCTGCTAACCAAAATTTCAGAACAGTTTTGGTTCGGAGATTCTTCTTGCAATCCTTTGATCTCGGAACAATTACTGCGTTCGTCTTCAGAAGCTAATTTTAAATCATTTGAAATTTTTAGTACAGCATCACTACTGACAGATTGGTCACCATCAGCCAATTCGCTCAAAGGATATTTTTCAGAAAATACTGTAGCGTTATCATCAACTTTCATTTGGGAGAAATAAGCATCAGGAATGGCATCTCTAGATTCAAAATGGTACTTTGTGCCTTCATCTGCCTGTCTTAATTGATGTTCAACGTGGCCAGTCGATGTTTCCTTTGATTGAGACCTTCTAGACGGTTTCGTGACTGAAGTGGCTGCAAGATCTGAAGCTGGCCATTTACGTCCTGAATTCTTCAGATTTGAACCAGAGGACACCTGTCCTATACCAGAAATCACTTTTTCCTGATCATGGGTACCATCATCCATGAGAAACTCACCAGAATCTGTTTTTTGTGTATCGTCAATTTGAGCAAGCTGGTTTGATGATGCGCCTTCTATCTCAGACCTATTATATTTGTTAGATATAAGGAACATGGGTTCTGATGGTATACTTTCACCCGCAATACTTAAAGAATCAGACCAAGAGAAACAGGGAATGTCCTTATCAAAAGAACTAATTGCATCTGATGCGGAAGAATTTCCAATGCATTGAAAATCTGAACACTGAGCTTGCCCTTTGCTATATTCTTCATTTCTATCTCTTTTGAGTGAACCATTGTCATTTGACGTATTGAAGGAGGTTCTTGATTGAGAATTGGAAAATCGAGCTTTGAGCTCAGCATGATCTTCATTTATATCTCGTTTGAATGATCTTACCTCATCTGACATAAAGGAGTCTGCAAATGATTGAGAATGCAGAATTCGAGCTTGCTGCTGATGTTCCTTATCATCGGAATCTTTTAGCTTCTGAATACGCAGGAAATTGTTCTTAGCTCTATACTCATAATCTATATCCAATTCTGACTCCAAGGTAGCTGAAGCATCCAAGTGATGGTCAACCTCGCTAGTCAAATAATCAGAATAGTACCCATACAAGAAGTTCTCTCTTTTCTTTCGTTCATCAATTTCCAATTCTGTTTCGTCAGGTAACTTAATATAATTTAAAGATATGTCATCTGACACACGAAATGAGCCTTGTTCGTGCTTGTTCATAAGATCTCCATCTGTCTCCCTGCTCATTCCTGAAGATGGCTTTGGTATTGCTTCCTCTTCATTAGTCGGTGAATATGTCCTTTCATTTTCCAAGGACCTTTTTACAGGTCCAACAGTACTGATTTCAAGTATTTTAATCCCTTCTTCGCTAGTATCATCCGACACCAATCTCACATGAGGTGGAGAGATTGAGGTTTCACGAACCACATCATCATCTTGAGACAGCGGAGATTCCAGAAATTTTTCCATGTAACTTTTCCCAGTTTTTCCTTCAGTTGCAGAGCCGTTTAATTTTCTATTCTTCAATTTCACAAGACGTCCAGGATCAGCACAAGCATTCTCAATACGCTCCTCAAGAAGCAACTGGTGCAATCTGCAAATATGGAAGTTGAATTTTCACCAATCAACTATTTCATCAGCCTTATGCACTTAGCAAACGGGAAGAATAAATTGATGAACCAAAATAAAATTACTGGGACTTACTTTGTATGTGTTGATGCAACTTCAGGGGTTTCACCATTCCTCATTCGCGAGCCTTTATTCTGCAGGAAAAAGAAATAATAATTTTCGTCAAATTTTTAGATTTTCATTTTTCAGTTGCATAACATTCTTCTGTATACCAATAAGCAAGGTCTATGGCAATCCCTAGCAAGACCCCAAAAAGCAGAGACGAGAACTTGTCTGTCCGTCATTCTGTGAACCATATTCATACAATTCCACTTTAATTTAGGTTTTCCAGCAAGATTCTCATTGATACTACCACAGGATAAAGTCAATTGGATAACTTTATTGGGAGATATATTACGTTCTACCGTTTAAAATAATTTGCCATAAGAATCGTGACAATAAATGGCGTAATGGATACTTTAGTACCTTGATTTTATGATGTTTCTTTTCCCTGTAAACTTCAACTGTTGCTTGTCTAGAGGAAGATGACTCTATTTTAAAGAATGAAGGATCAGTATAACGCTTCAAACATCCCCCAGCGCCAGCAACGTCAAACCTTTTAGAAGCCAAAAACAAAAAATAGAAAAGTTTCAAACATATAGAAGATAATCACATTTTGTTTGCCGTTCAAGTTTGTGTATGATTAATCATGTTTCCGTACTTGTCCAGAAGGAACAGTTGGGGAGGGCCACGACATTCTTCATATGAATCCATCACAAAACGAGGCATGTCTCCACGACTTATAAGATTATGTTCAGTCTGAAGATTAGGATGCCAACTAATCCCTGCAATGCCATTAGCAATTGCATGAAACTTTTCCTGGTGGCCAATAATAGCAAGTGTTTCAATTTATGAAAATTCTGCAATTAACAAGATCATTTAGCTTGTTTCTTCTCCTTTTTTTTTTTTTGGTTAAAAGTACAAACTTTCAGTTCCTAACTACACCATGGATGCCGCCGAAAGATCGAAGAAAGAACCAAATATATAAATAGAAATCATAAAGGGTACAAGTATGCAGTGAGGTAATCTAACCTCCCTTAGAGAAGAATGATAAATGATGACTTCGGGATAGAAAAGCCTTCTCAAGTGAAGGAACTTCAGCCTCAAGCTGTTGAATACGACCCAAAAGGCCATGGCCTCTTGCAGCAGTGACCATCACTTCTTCATGCAGGTCATGAAAGATCTCAGCAGCAAATCTAACCAGAATAATGCTGTTAGATGTATGTAAATGTAAAAACTAAAACTAAGAAAAACAGATGTTGATGTAGTGGTGAAAAAACCACAGCCTAGGCCAAGAATGGCATGAAATAACACCAGGTATTCCAGAACTTATGAACTGTTACAAATTGAGCTAACACTTTAATGATAGTATGGCATAGTTTTGAAAGCCAGGAACCAGGATTATCACAATGCTCACCAGATAAGCGCATTTTCCATACCAAAAGTATTTGATACCGACTCAAAGAAATTAGCCTCCAAAGATTAGTTCAGTTGGTTGGTGAGATGATTGTTTATATAGAGGATGCCACGACGGAGCCAAGGTGATCCCTCTCTGACCAGCAAAAGACAAATGACAATTCCTGTAATTCTGCTTGTTGTAAAATGTTTGATTAAATTGACACTTCTTCCTTTCTGTGTTGAATTCACTTTCTAATTATCTCCTTCAGATAAGTAAGGTACTAAACAATGACAAGTAATGTCATTAAGTAAAATGTTTCTAATTAAATATAATCTCTTTAAATGCACTAATTTAATTGTCAAACTTCTTATCAGATTCGAGCAATCTGTGGACTTGCTATTGACCTTTGCTTTTCTTTTTCCAAGATTTTATGTAAGCAAAGAAAATGATCCAAAGGTGATAGAGAATTAAGGAAGATGAGACAGAACGAGATGTTAAAAGAAAAAAGTGAATCAGAATCAAGGAAATCAATTGTTAAGATTCAGATACAAAACTTGACAAACGCAATGCTGGGAGCCCAATTTATCTCAATAACATAACCACCAAATCAGACATCCATTTTCTTCCAATTCTGAACAGGATCCATCTTACACGGTGATATAACGACCAAAATAATAAAATGCTAAAATCCAAGAACAGTTAATATAGCCCAAACACAAAAATCTAGCTGAACAAGAGCTACCCCAATTATGATTAAACAGACACTTTCAGCTAAACGTCTAAACGCTCATTCTAGGAAGGATAATAATGAAAAGCACAAAATTCAATCTCAAGCACCGGAGCAGTAGCACGACTGCTATGAAAATCAATAATAAAAAAATACATTTCAAAGGAAGGAAGAGTTACGATATGGATAAGGGACTACTGACTGGGAAAGATCGCCGAGCTGGCGCAAGAGGCCGACGAGTCCAACTGTAGCGACAGCTTCCAAGAGAGCTTCAGGATCATCCTTATCCGCCTCTCTGTACAGCTCGGGATCGGCCAAACTGAGCTCGTTCTTCAGCTGGTACCTGGTTATCGGCATTGGTCACAATTTAGCAATGAGAAGCTTCAATTCCCTCAGTCATGTGCTCCTTCACTCCGCCAACTCTGTTCTTCGTTGCGCAATGTAGGACGGGGGGTAGAGAGAGAGAGAGAGAGCGTGCGCTTTTTCAGGTTTTAGGAAATCAAAGAAATCCACTGAATTTGCAGTACGGTGAGTATTTAAACATATTCACCTTTATTTTCATTGCCTCTTTCATCTTTGTCAATAATGGAGTTAAAAATTCAGGAGGCAAAAAACACGCACACACGTTAATTTATATGTGATTTAGCCCAAAATTTTATAAAGTATTTTTAAATCTTCTAATCCTACTATGATTAATTTTAAATGATTATTTTTAAAATGAATCATTGTTACTTTAAAAAAATTAAATTTAATATATCAATATTTAAAAATATTTTGTTCAGATTTTAAAAACCATTTATAAAAATTTTTTATTGCTCAAACTGACAAGGTTAGGAATTGAAAAAATATTTTATAAAATTAGATGATCAAAGTAAAACCAAGTATGTGATTTAGCCTGCATATATATATATATATATGATTTAAATAATGTTATCAAATTAAATTTTCTTCAAACATATATCTATGCCTTAATAACATACTAAAAAAATGACTAGATAAGTGAGGAGCATTTGGTTTAACTAATAAAGGTAACTGAATCAGTTTATTGTAAAATTTTGAGTTTAAATCTTCAGATATAAAGTGGTGTTAAATAAAAATGATAGATACTACTCCGTTTAAAAATATAAGATATTTTTAATTAAATTTTACTTTAATAAAGTAGTTATCTACTTTTTAATTAACCCTATATTTTTATATTTAACTCTATTAAATACCTTACAATAAATATAAAATCATTATTAATAGGGGCACTTTAAAAAAAATAATGATTACATCTCAAAAGATTAAAAATGCTTTACATTTTTAAACATTTAACTCTTTAAAAAATACCTTATATTTTTAAATTGAGAGATTATATTCTTATTATGCTGTTGATAATAACCACTCACACATGCGAGAAATGAAAGTTACTTATAAAGAGTAAGAATTAAAAAGAGTATCTAATAGGGGTATTCTCTGCAACTGGCAGTCAGCAGTGCTAGTCCTTATTCCTAAAAAAATGATGTTAAAAAAGAAAAATAATTGTGATTTGTAAAAAAGAAACAAGGAGTTAGGAGAGAGAGTGATGGAGGAGGGATGATTGCTGCTGCTGATGGGCGGGTATTATGGCGCTTTTGATGGAAAGAGTAGGAATTGGATATTCCTAATACCTTTTTTTAAAGGGATCGAGAATGTTGAATGTAGTGAGTGCAATAAGCGTTTCTAAGAAATGTCGTATAGTTAACGAACAGGCAGCCCACCACACCACTCACAGGACTAATCTTTGTCCTTTTTTTGTTTTCTAAGCAAACTCTCAACAAACTCTTCCTTCTTACCCCATTATTTACGGTTTTGCACGTATACTCTCTCTTGTTTCTTTCTGTTTTTTTTTTTAAACACAATTATCAATTATCTATAAGCCGAGTAATATCACATTTGCAGCAAAATTTTTCTAACAAGTATTTAATATAGCTGTATGTTTAAGAATTGAACTCAAGATAGTTGATTAAGCTATAATACAATCCCTTACCAATTCAACTCCGTTCTCCTCTTATTTATATAATAAGGTAATAATTGCAATTAAGAAAACATAGTTACATTATTAGCTTTGTTTAAAAACGTGAAAAAAACATTAATTTGATTTCTATTTAAATGAAAAAATTTCAAATTTGAATTACGTGTAAGGAATTTAAATATAGATAATATTGGAAGAGCATAATTAATATCACACCAAGTATTTTATATTAAGGATTGAAGAATTCTTCAAGAAGGTACTCTATAATAAGGATTGAAGATGTGGTCCTTAAAGTTTGTTTCGGGGCAAGTAAGTATTTCGTTGGATATTATTATCATTTCTAATTACCTCATCAAATTAAAGATAGATAGTTAAATTATTGATATTGTCAAAAAAGAATAGACATTTTTTAATTTATCCTTATTGAATATATATTTTTACAAACACTTTCTCTTTCACATGTAACATTTTACTCTACTCATAGAAAATTATGAAAGAGTGAAATGAAAACAAAATTAGCAATCCATCTTTTTATGAAGCACATTTACCATCAATTCTTTCTATAAAGTGATATATATATATATATATATATATATATGATCAGAAAAGAGTATTCCTTAATTCAGAGAACTTATCTTCTTTTTTCTTTTTTTATCAAGGAGAGAATTTTGATAGTTGAAATTGAATTTCTCTACATATTTTTATGAATTTTCTAAGTGTATGAGTTAGTTAGTTAATTCACATATATTTAACGAAATTACTAGATAAGTTACTGTTTGTAAAACAAAATGTGCATTGTGCTGATTTTTACATAATGCCCCTCTTTTTAATAATAAGAAAAAATAATACATGAATGTAACTGTAGATTTACTATAGGGATAACGTAGAAAAAATAAATCAAAAAGATAAATGAGATCGAGGTCTTATTTAGAATCAAGACAAACTCTTTAGTTAGCTTTTACATTTAAATTTTTTTGAAATGTGATACGTAGATAACGCTACACTTCCCAAAATATAAATAAATACACTTCCATATTCCTATTCATGAATTTTGGAATTGAGTTATGCAGACACGAGAAGAAGTTATTGTTACTATGGTGAAATGATTCATTTTAATCATAACAAAAGAGCATGCGTATTGTTTATTGGGGAGAAAAAAGAGCATGCGTATTTTAATATCCAAGCAAATGTGCCTATAAAATTATTACGATGCAGATAAGGTAGACATGGTACTCAAAAAGGAATGAATGTCTAATTTAATCCAAGTATAATTTTTTTTGGGGGCCAAATTTAATCCAAGCATAATAAGACGTGCATGTCATATTATATATACGTGTTTTTGGATAATGAACAAAATGAGAGAAGTGAAAATGAAAAGAAAAAAACAGAGAAAATGTTTTCACTTTCTGTGCTTAAATAAGTGGATGAAGATATCAGGGACAAAAAAGTGACTAATTTTATGGTGACGTTGCGATCTTTGTATGTGTTTAGTTTTTAGTTTGTTAAAAATTTATTTACTAAAAATTTATTTGATAAAAAGTTAACACAATAAAAGTCAGTTATTATAATAAAATTTGTATTTGCATACATATTTTTTTTAAAAGTTAGTTTGATAAATTAAAAGTTATTATGAATATAATAATGAAATGTGCTTTTAAATATACAATTATAAAAAAAATATTAATTTATAATGATTTGTGATTTTTATTGTACAAATATAATATATTTAAAATATTTTAAAAATGTGGTAAAAATTTTAAATAACATAAAATTTGATCTATAATGCTAAAAATTTAATCTTTAATTATTTTTACTTTTAAAAAATGTGACAAATATTTATAATTTTTATTATATATTAATGCTAAAAATTAACATAATTGATTATTCAATTTATAATGCTAAAAACTTAATATTTAATTATTATTATTATTATTTAAATGATAATTATATTTTTAATAAATTAACTATTTTATAAATAAAAAATAAGAGATTAAACTAACACAGAAGATGTGGATCTCATGTCTTCTCTCGCTCTCTCTCTCTCAGTGTAAAAAAAATTACACAGGTTTTATTTTGGCCATATATGTAGGATTTATATATATTTTTCTCTTTTTTTTTACTTTCATATTTTATCTCGCATCCAAATATAACATAGAAAAAGTGGTAAAGTATTTGGGATGAGATTGTGATTCAAAAGTATATGTTCATTTGAGTGTGGAAGTGACAACAAGCAGAATAATGTGTCTTATATTGAAACAAGGATTTTGTTTGTGTTTTTATGTTGGCTTAATATGAGGCATATGAATCAACGAAATACTCCCTCCAATCTTAAACGTATGAGCTACATAACTAATTCATAGGTATTAAAAAATTAATTAGATTAAACTCTTTTTTTTTTTTTTAGATTCAAGATAAATCTCTTGACCAGTTCACATGTTTAAGGCTAAACGCAAAGGTGTATGCATACTAGGAAAAGAAACATGGGAGCATGTCTCTCATCCTGCCGTTGACATTTGTTGATTTGAGGGAAGCCGATATGATGAAGAAAGCAATGGTCCTACCACGATAATTTTTGCTTTTTGGGTCCGTCTCCGTGCTCATCAGGGAATGCACTCTGGATATGATAAGGACCGTTCGAATATAATGGTTTAGATTTAAATTTTTTGTTTTATTTTTATAAAAAGAAAAATTTTAAAAATTTAAAGGTATGTTTATCACCAATCTAAATTATGTAAATTTAATTTGAATAATCTAATTTAATATTAAAATTTTTTATAATTTTTATAAATTTAAAATTCAAAGTGTATTCTAATTTGTTTAGATTTAATATTAATATTTTTATAAATTTTATAAACTTTTACTCCTTTGTTTAAAAATATAAGAATTTTTTATTAAATTTTATTTTTTAATAAAGTAATCATCTACTTTTAAATTAAATTTATTTTTTTATATTTACTCCAACACTTTATAATAAATATAAATTTATTATTAATACGGATACTTAAAAAATAATGATTATATATTAAAAGGATTAAAAATATTTTAATTTTTTAACATTTAATTTTTTTAAAAATATTTTATAATTTTTAGCGCAGGAAATATTTTGTGAAAGCGATGGTCCTTGTCCTACCACGTTTGATTTTCAGAATTAGGCGACAGCCATGGCCCCCACTACTCATGTATTGTATATGGATTTCAAATTCAAATATATAATAATTATTCTCATTGTAAAAATTATAATTAACCGTGAAATGGAAACAATAATAATATGTGAAACAGTAAAAACAGGATGGAGGAGGAAGAAGCGCCTCTAATGCTTGGCTGACGACATAAAATAGGAAAAATATATTAGAATATAGAAAATGAAGACAGAAAAAAAGTAAAAAAAATATAAGGGTATGTTTGGTTTTGTATTCTAATTTTATATTCTTAAAAAAATTCTGTAGAATAATTTTTCAGAAAATGAAAAGAAAACTGTTTATTGAATCATT